CAGGTGCTGGAGAGGATGTGGAGAAATAGGAACACTTTTACACTGTTAGTGGGAGTGTAAACTAGTTCAATCATTGTAGAAGACGGTGTGGTGATTCCTCAAGGATCTAGAACCAGAAATACCATTTGACCCAGCCATCCCATTACTGGGTATATACCCAAAGGATTATAAATCATGCTACTATAAAGACACATGCACACGTATGTTTATTGCAGCACTATTCACAATAGCAAAAACTTGGAACCAACCCAAATGTCCATCAACAATAGACTGGATTAAGAAAATGTGGCATGGCCGGCGCGGTGGCTCCTGCCTGTAATCCCAGCACTTTGGGAAGCTGAGACGGGCAGATCATGAGGTCAGGAGATCAAGACCATCCTGGCTAACACGGTGAAATGCTGTCTCTACTAAAAATACAATAACCCCTTTAGCCAGGCATGGTGGCGGGTGCCTGTAGTCCCAGCTACACGGGAGGCTGAGGCAGGAGAATGGCATGAGCCCAGGGGACAGAGCTTGCAGTGAGCCGAGATCGCGCCACTGCACTCCAGCCTGGGCGACAGTGTGAGACTCCATCCCCCAAAAAAAAGAAAGAAAATATGGCACATATACACCATGGAATACTATGCAGCCACAAAAAAGGATGAGTTCATGTCCTTTGTAGGGACATGGATGAAGCTGGAAACCATCATTCTGAGCAAACTACCACAAGGACAGAAAACCAAACACCACATGTTCTCACTCATAGGTGGGAAATGAACAATGAGAACACTTGGACACAGGGTGGGGAACATCACACACCAGGGCCTGTCGTGGAGTGGGGGGAGGGGGGAGGGATAGCATTAGAAGGAATACCTAATGTAAATGACGAGTTAATGGGTGCAGCACACCAACATGGCACATGTACACGTATGTAACAAACCTGCACGTTGTGGTCATGTACCCCAGAACTTAAAGTATAATAAAAAAAATTTGAATCGTCACATTTTAATTTTTCAAAGTTCAGGTTGGTTCTTTATCAATTCTGCTGGTATTTTTTGATAGCATCTTGTCCCTTTCTCATGTTTTTAATTTCTTTTCTTTCTTAAACATTTGAAACTTAGTAATTTTATATTCTATATCTCTAAATTCTAACATTTTAAATCCTTGATTGTCTAATTCTGCTGTTTGTTGTTGTTGTTGTTGTTGTTGTTGTTGTTTTGACACTTCTTCAGAGTGCTTTGTTTATTTGTGTGTTTTGTAATTTTGGATTGTATGTTTCTGTTTGACAGGACTTTATCTATTGAAATCCTGTGAAACCAAACCAAGTGAAGATTTATGTCTTCTATCTGTGACATTTAATTTAAATTATTGGGTTAGAGCCTCCTAGGCCAAGTAGGTAACAATTAATTCAAACCACAAATATGATGGAGGACAGGAAAACAGATAAAACTTCTCAGAGAATAGTAATTTTTTTTTACAACCAATCCTAGACAAGAGCAAAGCCTAGAGAAACAAGTTTCCAAGCCATGTTCTTTGATACCAGGTGGACTTTTAAAGTTTACTTTTTCTCTGAGAACACAGTCCAAGGGCTTTATGCAGGGGTCTCAGTTCCAAATTTGCTTCAATCTCAGGCATTGTTTCCTGCCACCCAAGCCTCTTGGTTACTGAAATTAAAAGCCACAAAACACCTGTTAAAGACAATTATTCAGTGACATTTCATAAAGTGAGGTAAGGAAGATTTTCCATCACAATAAGTATAGGTACCACTACAATGTGGTCTTGCAGTGGGAGAGATTGGGCTCAACTCTGTAGATGAACAATAAATAAGAGAAAAATATCAAGGGTAAGAGGGATTCTGGCTAACACAAACTAATGGGATTCATGTGAAGATAGGCCAAGGTGATCAGACATCACCCAGCGGATGGAAGGATGAGGGGCCTGATCAGAGATTGAGAATGATCAGATATCAAAGGTGAGGGGGTTCTTGCTAAACTGACTTAGCAAGGCTCTTTGCGAAAACTGGATTTTACAAAGAGGTGTACAAATAAGCCTAGACGGTTCAGAAGCTTGACTAAAGTTTGGCCAAGCAAATAATCTTTATCACAACCTCAGTCCCAAGACACATTTCATTTTTTGGCCTCTGGGATTTTTTTATTTTTCTAGCTAACTTGGCAACACATTTAAACAGAGGTATGTTTAATTTTATCCAGCATATCCAGGAATTTTAAACTGGGAGTTTTTTAAACTATACATGCCACTATAATGTTCCCCTCATATGGTTTTCAAAGGTCACTCAGCTTGCAATGTGTGAAATAGTTTGGAGAGGAGAAACATGCAAAAGCAGGAAGACCTACTAGGAGACTATTGCAGATATTTACACAAGACAGAATAACTCATAAGAGGATTGTGATGGCAGAGACAGAGGGAATATGAGGAAATTTCAAAATGTTTGTGGAAAAAATGAATTAAAAGATAAAAAATATAAAATATAAACTTTATTTCTCAACATAAATTCCACCAAGTTCAAGACACTTTTTTAAGAAATGACACCAGCCATTTAGTACACCCTAAAGAACTGAGAGTCCTGGAGACTTAACCATGTCAAAACAGTCCTTTTTACATTATTAACTGAAGAAAACTGTGTGCCCTTGACAGATGTTTTCAAGATTAGGAAACAAAAAGAAGTCAGAAGGGGCCAAATCAGGTGGATGCCTAATGATTTCCCATTGAAACACTAACAAAATTGTTCTTGTTTGATGAGAGACATGAGCAGAAGCATTGTCACAGTGGAGAAGAACTGTCTGGTGAAGCTTTCTCAGGTGTTTTTCTGCGAAAGCTTTGGCTAACTTTCTCAAAACACTCTCAATAGGCAAATTAATGTTATCATTCTTTGGTCCTCCACAAAGTCAACAAGAAAAATACCTTGAGTATCCCAAAAAAACTGTTGCCACTACCTTTGCTCTTGACTGGTCTGCTTTGCTTTGACTTCCTCCTCTTGATAGCCATTGCTTTGCTTGTGCTTTTTCTTCAGGATCATACTGGTGAAGCCATGTTTCATCTCCTGTTACAATTCTTTGATGAAATGCTTCAGGATTGTATTAGTCTGTTTTCACACTGCTATAAAGAACTGCTGGGGACTGAGTAATTTATAAACAAAATAGGTTTAATTGAGTCACGGTTCTGCATGTCTCAGGAGGCCTCAGGAAACTTAAAATCATGGTGGAAGGCAAAGGGGAAGCAAAGCCCTTCTTCACATGGTGGTAGGAAAGAGTGAGTGAAAAGCCCAGAGGAGACTGCTGCTTATAAAACCATCAGATCTCATGGGAACACCCTCACTATCATGAAGACAGCATGGGGGAAACTGCCCCGGTGATCCAATCACCTCCCACCAGGTCTTTCCCTCAATAGCTGGGGATTACAATTAAAGATGAGATTTGGGTGAGATCACAAAGTCATATCAAGGATCTTGACCCCACTTGTTTAAACTTTCCACTGAAAGCTCTGCTCTTATCTGTAGCAGATCTGAGTACAACAGTTTTGTCACCCATCAAGTGGAAAGTTTGCTCCACTGTAATTTTTCAGTCAGAATTGTGTAAACTGAACCAATTGAGATGTTTCTTGTGTTGGCTATTGTTTCTGCTGTTCTCTTCAATTAGGGCACAAACAAGATGAATTTTTTTCCTCACAAAGTGATGTGGATACTCTGCCACTATCTATATCTTCAACATCATCTCCTCCCCATTTTGTTGAGATGGGGTCTCACTCTGTTGCCCAGGCTGGACCACAGTGGCTCAATCATAGCTCACTGCAACTTTGAACTACTGGGCTTAAGCAATCCTCCTGCCTCAGCCTCCCAAGACACTGGGACTACAGGTGTGCACCACCACACCTGGCTAATTTTTAAATTTTTAGTACAGATGAGGTCTTGCCATGTTACCCAGGCTGGTCTCAAACTCCTGGACTTGAGAGAGCCTCGTGCATAATCCTCCCAAAGTACTGGGATTACAGGCATGAGCCACCATGCTTGGACGTCTCCTCGTTTCTTAAAATGAGTTATGCATTTGTAGACTGCTGATTTATTTGGGGCATTGTCCTCATAAATTTTTCATAAAGCATCAATTTCATCGTTCTTCACCACAAATTCCGTGTTTGTTCTTGCTTCAATTTTCACAGAATTCAGATTGCTTTAATAGGGGCTCTTTTCAAACTGTCTTAGCCTTCTTAGTGCCTCAGATCCTGTTCAGACATGTTATATAACAAGTCAATACAAGTTTATTTTGGTGTAAAAAAATTTGGAAACCTATGTAGTTTTTAGCATAATACACATTTTCCATGAACTTTTCAAAGACTCCTCTTAGATAAACCTGAGAGAGATTCAGTATTTAAAATCAATAGGGTTTCGGATGTCCAAGAAGAGATTTGTAGTGAAAAGTTTTTATAGGGGTTAGGAGCTCAGATGAGAGATCCGAGTTGCATAGGAGATTTGGGATGTCTTCTGTTAAAGCCTGGTGACTGAATTCAAGGCATACATCCCCGGCGTAAAGTGTTATTTTAATATGAGGGGACCTTTGGAATGTTTAAATGCAGATAGAAAGGAGCCAGCGGAAAGAGAGAAGAAAAAACTGGCCGAGTGGAAAGAAATCCAGACTACCGGTGGAAGGGTTCTCTTGCATTACTGACCCGCCAACTTAATAGATATCCAGAATTCTGAGGTCTGGGTAGCTTCGGGTTTTAAGTGAAGGGTTTTGTTGGTTGAGTTTGGTTTGGCTGGTTTTCTACACTAAAACCTTCCCTCCTCCGCCTTTTCTGGGTCCATCGGTCTAATCCCTCCCACCTCGCTTGCTAGAGAAACACACAGCCTATATTTACAAGCTTTTCCGGGTCGCCGAGAAGGGCCACGCACAGGATTGCGACCTCGATTGGAACCCGCTTCCCGAAAGGGACATGCGCAGAGAGGTCCTGGTCGCGTTTGAAGTGAGGTAAACTCTAAAGTTACGCAGGCGCGTTAGGTCCTAGTCGCTATGCGTGTGCTTGTGGGTGAGGGACTGCAGAAAGGGAGAGTGCCGGGCGGGCTTAGTCGGAGATTGAGGGCTGGGAATCCGCTTCCGGGAGGGCACTGTCTAGTGCACTGGTAACCTGGCCTTGGCCGCCTAGCCCGAGAAGCCGAATCTCCCTAATCCCTGTGACCTGTGTCACCTCTGCATCGCGGGGAGGGGAAGAAGTGGGGAGCAGTCTGGTGTCAGATGGGCTGGCGCCGGAAGAGGGGGGCCACAGCGGGGACGAAAGGCGCCCCCACCCCGACTCCCCGGAAATATAAGCAATTTGTATTTTCCGATCAGGTGGCGGGACTGGCTTCATTGGGACAGCCCTAAGCCAGCTGCTGAATGCCAGAGGCCACGAAGTGACGTTGGTCTCCCGACAGCCCGGGCCCGGCCGGATCACGTGGGTAAGTCCATCCTCTGGAAGCGGGTGGGAGGGCAGAGTTGGGCGGTGCAGGGCGGGGCAGGGGCACTGTGTGCTTTCTCCAACAGGATGAGCTGGCTGCGTCTGGGCTGCCGAGCTGCGATGCCGCCGTCAACCTGGCCGGAGAGAACATCCTCAACCCTCTCCGAAGGTCAGCCTGGGCCCTAAAGCTGATACCCACTAGAGCACAGGGAGGAGAGTGTACCACTGATGAGAACCTGTGAGCTAAGGGTAATGGAACTCCTAGATTCTGAACTAAACCGATATCCCAGACTACTCATTCTGCTCCACTTCTCCACCCAGTCAGCCAATTGGCTTAAGTCCTCAGGTATAACTCAGGATGCCCAAAAAATGTATGCCCTTTCCCTCTACAGGAGACGTTGACTGTTTCTGTTAAGCCAAAATTAAGGGCTTTACTAGAAATGGGTATGAAATAGTTCCCAGGAAAAGATAGAGAGAGGGATATGTGCACCTATGTATTTAGTGGCTTTTTATTTCCCATGTTTCTCCTGCAGATGGAATGAAACCTTCCAAAAAGAGGTTCTCCGCAGCCGCCTAGAGACCACCCAATTGCTGGCTAAAGCCATCACCAAAGCCCCACAACCCCCCAAGGCCTGGGTCTTAGTCACAGGTGTAGGTATGCCCCCTAAATCACCAGCCCCTCATATTAGCCATGGGAAGGGGGTAACTCAGACCTCTGTAGCTGTGCACACACCCGAGCACTGGTTTTTTCCAGGCAAAATGACTTCCTAGGCCCTTGATCCATGCATGTTTCTCCTAACCTTTGTGTACTTTCACTAAGAAACTGAGACCCTGAAAAAGAGTGAGGAGTGGCATCACTCTTAGTGCCAGGGAAAAGTCCACCTATTCCAAAGTCCCTTACTTCTCACACCATAGTTCTTTAGGAACAGAGTTCATGGTCACCTCTGGGACCAAGTAATTGCAAACAATTATAATGCACACACCAGCCACTATTTGAAGTGTTTTATGCTTATTATCATTTATTCCTTACAACAACCCTATGAGGTAGGTACTATTATTCCCATTTTAAAGATGTGAAAATTCTATACAGAGAGGTTAAGTAACTTGCATCAAGTCACAGAGTTAAAAATGAGGGAGCTGATTAAAACTCAGGCAGCCTGGTACCCAAGTTCCTGTTCTTAACCACTACACTCTAGCAGCCTCTAAGTTTAGCCCTGCAACCAGAGTTCCTCCAGGGAAGGAACACTTCAGGTCCTGGAAAAGTTCAAGGGGAAAATATCCAAATGGCTCTGTCTCCAAATGGGGAGATCCTAAGGGCCAAAGGAGGTGAAGCCAAGGGAAGCCTCCAATACAGAGAGCTAGGCAGGACCAAGGACATCCAGGGCAAATGAGTGTGTTCCACCGGCAGCTTACTACCAGCCCAGTCTGACTGCGGAGTATGATGAAGACAGCCCAGGAGGGGACTTTGACTTTTTCTCCAACCTCGTAACCAAATGGGAAGCTGCAGCCAGGCTTCCTGGAGATTCTACACGCCAGGTGGTGGTGCGCTCGGGTGAGAAACAAGGGCCTGGGTATCAGACAGGGTTGGAATGTCTTCTCTGGGCTGGGGAAGTGATGGGATTAGGAGAGCTGATGGGATTAGGAGAGCTGAGATTACAGAGTGAGAGGATGCTACCACTTCTAGCCAACCTGCAGATGAGAAGGTGTGAAGTCTTAGAGAGCCATACTGCTCACTTCTGTTACAGAGCCAAGTCAGCATGGGGAGAGTGAGGAAGGGGAAACAGAAACCAGGAGGAGCAGTGGGGCTGCTTCAAGGCTGAGAGGACCTCTGTACCTTCCCTCTTGCCTGCTGTAGGGGTTGTACTGGGCCGTGGGGGTGGTGCCATCGGCCACATGCTGCTGCCCTTTCGGCTGGGCCTGGGGGGCCCCATCGGCTCAGGCCACCAATTCTTCCCCTGGATACACATCGGGGACCTGGCAGGAATCCTGACCCATGCTCTTGAAGCAAACCACGTGCACGGGGTCCTGAATGGAGTGGCTCCATCCTCCGCCACTAATGCTGAGTTTGCCCAGGCTTTGGGTGCTGCCCTGGGCCACCGAGCCTTCATCCCTGTCCCCAGCACTATAGTGCAAGCTGTCTTTGGGCGAGAGCGTGCCATCATGCTGCTGGAGGGCCAGAACGTGATCCCACGGCGAACACTGGCTACTGGCTACCAGTACTCCTTCCCAGAGCTAGGGGCTGCCTTAAAGGAAATTGTAGCCTAAGTAGGTCATGGCAAGGGCCTGAGGCCTGTCCCTCATAGGCTTCCAGGTTAGGCACTGTGAATAGGCTCAGCTCCTCTAGAGAGCTGAAGCCATCTGGTTCTTAGATTTCTCCCCTAGTCCTCTTTCCCATTGTTCTGTTGCTCCACCTTATTGTCTCAAGGCTGTAATCTCATCAGGTTGGGACATTAATCTTTTCAACTCCTTGCAAGATTTTCTAGTTGGGTTTCTCTACATGTCCTGCAGCTGCCCCACTTCTCCTTTATGCTGTGTAGAGAATGCTCTGCAGTTTAGGCAATAAAGATAAATTATCTCACTAACCTTGGCTCATCTCTCTGGCCTAGATTCGCCTACGATTTACTTCAAGGAATGTCACCCTAGATGATTCTTCCCCCAAGATGGGGTTTTGAAAGTTATAATGGGCAGTCTCTCTCATCACCCTCTCCCTTCTTGGTCCTTCAGTTGCCAAAAGAGCTTGTCACAAGTTTGGGACATCTGGTTATGATAAAGGTAGGCACTAGAAGACAGAATGATGATCCATTTCCAGTGGGCCCTGTAGTCACCCTGGATGCTGTCAGAGTGCCATTAGAATGCCAGTAGAGGAAGAGGTGAGGCCCAGGTGTAGGATAGACTTCAGTCTGTGTCACCAAATGGCAAGTGCATTACTAACCACACAGTGGTCCCAGTTTATCAGGCTGCAGCAGAACAAAGCCAACATCCCTGTCTATAAGAAGCTTAGGACTTGCCTCTCATCTGACTGGGGCCACTCAAGTCAACCAGCGCCGTTAGCACAAAAGGGCAGAAGATACTTTTGGTCTACTGTACACCCACCATCACTGAAAGTGAAAAGGGCAAGATACCAATCAAGAACTATAAACAACCCTACCCGGAGAAAAAAAAAACCTCCCAAGTTTTCATCTAAGACCCTTTTTACCTACCTAAAGCTGTGACATCTGCCATAACTTGATCAGACACAGTTCCCCCAGCCACCAGTTCAGGCCATATTAACCAGTCTCTTCTTCTCAGGGACCTCTGGGTTATCTCTGAATCACTGTCACCTCCTTGACCAGCCTGTCTCCAACACACCTGCCCCCAGCCTGGGTCAGTATGGTACAGTGGTGTAAATCACCAAAAAGGGAGGGGTGAGGACACAAGGACCCAAGGACCCTCCCCATCATCATTACATTCTCCATGCAGTATTCAACTCCCTGTGCCATTCAGAGGGAGGCAAAAGTCACGGCCTGGAAAAGATCTTATCCAGAGACTCACCACAGGGCCCACATAGAACAGAATCCAGGGGCACCCATCCTACTTCTTTATCTGGTCTTGGATTCCAGGAAGTTGACTGGCTCTGTATTGTTCCTGGGGGTATGACCAGCCTCAAAGGTAGACGTAACAGAAAAGCATACTTTAGGCTGCACTAAAGGAAGGAGTACTGATTAATACCGTCTACACAGGGAATGTGCTACCTTGGAGATAGTAAATTCCCTGGCACAGGAGGACTTCAAGCAGACCAAGGGCAATGACCTGTAGGAATCAGGGTGGAGAGAGCATGTTAGTGACAGAAGAGTTGGTCTGGTGGCCAGTCAAGTGCCTTCCAACTCTGGTTATTTCATTTTCCAGATAATTGGTTCATCTAGAACCAACTGGTTCAACTTCCGTTAAGTCTTCCCATCCCCATACACACATACATAAAGCAGAAGTGTGCCTCACTTTATGTAACATATATCTTCCATAGAGAAAATGTTAGGGTTGGATCACATTAATATTGTCATTGCAGAGCATGGCTTCATCGATTTGGTGAAAAATCGACGTGTTCATCTCAACACCAGCAAGTGCATCTAACCAGGGATTTGCCAACAAATTTGTTAGTCTGTAAACAAACACTTGAATACAACAGGAGAGCTGCCATTTATAGGAACCCTGAGAGTATTCTGATAATGCAGTCATCCCTAATTTACCTATTGTATAAATGTGGATTTTGGAGGTTGCTCAAAAGGGATGCAGCCATTATAGGGCATGTTATAGTGAGAATGCAGTGTTAAAATCTAGGGTGTGGACCCTGAAGACAAAGGACCCACATCTCTCTGAAAGTGAGGTTTTGGTTAGAGAGCCTGTGCAGCCACAGGCAGACACACCTGAGACTTGGTCCAAGCACCTTTTCTCCAAGAAGCTTTCCTCTATGTTCTCATTTCTCCTCCCAACAGGTATTTTTACCACTGATTTGTAGGCGGAAGTAAAGCCCAAGCAACTCAATCAAGGTCACAAACAGGCATAGCTGAGACCAGAAGCCAAGTCTCCCTCTGCCTTCTTCACTAGCTCACTCCATTCTATCGTGGCCCCATCCACATAACGCTGTGGCCCTTCCAGGGCCCAGCGTCTCCTTCCACACTCCCAGGAGCTCAGCCAGGGAGTATCCTGTCCTCTGGCCATCCACAGCAGCAGCCAGAGAGAGGAACAGCTTAACTTCCTGTCAGTTCCCGCCCACCCTGCCCTCCACCCCAGCTCAGCTTGGAGGTGGAGCCAACAGTCTCAGTGTCCAGAACTAATCCTCTCCAGCAGCCCCTACTCCCTACAGAAACCCTGTGCTAAGGCAAAGTTGAGAAGTTAAGGCTGAGCAGAACCTCTTGAGAGCTGGCTGAGGTCCTCACTCGGTAAGATCAGGTCACTTTATGGACCTGTCCCAAAGTGGCTTCCCTGATCCAAAGCATCAACTCAGGGTGCCTCTGGATCAGAGTGTGAGCAGCAGAGGGACTCTCACAGAAAGGGCTGAGCTGGAGGCGGCTGGAGCTGACGGGGCGGCAACCACTCAAGCAGGTGAGGCTCAAAAGTTAAGACTGAGCAGGGCCTCAGACAGTTGGTTAATGTCCCGGCAGTATGGCTCCCGCTGCAGGATGAAGTCCACCTTGTGATCCTGACCCCAAAACACCTCCAGCAGCTGCCGCCGGAGCCGCTCTGTTTCCCGGGTCTTCCGAATGCCACCACTACCTTTTTCCTCTTCTCTCCCGTGCTGCTGTTTACCATGTTCTGCAAAGCCCCTGGAAGGATGCTGAGCCTTAGAAGACCCTTGTGTCCTAGGAAGAAACAGACCAAAAAGAGCTGATGAGCATCCTGGGGGGAAATTAGATCTTAGTGGGCTACCCCTCTCTTAATTGTCCTGCCTATTCTTGGCTTTGGGGGAGAAACCCTGAAGTTCCTGAAGCTGACCACTGAGTGGCAGTATCAACCCACTTCTGAAGGGGAGCTGGGCCGTTCTTTTGGAACCAGGGTGAACTCTGCCACTATTAAGATCTAGTTCTAGTCCTAAATGAATCACTTATGTAATGGTCAGTAGAAGGCAAGCTGAATACAACTGGATCTCAGTATAAGCAACCGTTTTCCAAATAACTCCATCAAACATGCTGATTAAGAGAAACAGGAAGCAGGTGTTTCCCTACCAGCAAGGAGGTTCTATGTCAGGATCCCCTGGGAAGCTTATAAAGGCCAAGGCAACTCAAACCACTGCAAAATTAAGATTACACTTAATTTTGCCCAAACTGAGATCACACTTCCACCCAAGTCTCTGGGCCTGCTGAGAGAGGGCCAGGGGTGGGGGCTGCCCGCAAGTAGTCTAGGGGAAGGATTACCTGGCTGGCTTCTTCAGAAATTCATCCAGGGTGGGGCCGTTTCGTCCCAGTGGGTCATCAGGTACCATGAAGAGGTTTCCCACAAAGGTAAAGGGCAGCAGGCTGGATGGTGAAAGATATGTGGTCACAGAGGGGGCCCTGGCCTACCTCCCAGACGACTGAGACCAGTATCACCAGAAGCTGCTGGCTCCATCCTTCAAGAAAACTTCACCTGCTTCCCAGAGTTTTCACCCCATGGCCAGAGCAGAGCTGGCTTTAGAAAAACATCTGCATCTGTGCCCAATTCTCAGCAGGAGGGCTCCCTCACCGTTCTCTGATGATTGCCATCCACTTCTCAGACTCCTCCGCCAGGTCCCGGAACTGGTCATTGGAGACAATTATCCCATCTGTCTCTTCAGCCAGCTTCACCATGAACCTGTCTCCAAAACCACAGCAACCAAGAGAGGGTTGAAAAATTACCTACTGGGTACAATGTTCACTATTTGGATCATGGTTACATTAAAAGCCTAGACTTCACCACTATGCATTATATCCATGTAGCAAAACTGTACTGGTATCCCCCAAATCTATAAAAATAAAAGGAAAAACCACAGCAACCATTTGAACTCTCCAAGGCCCCAACCCCAGAAGTTTTACTGACTCCCATGAGTCACTTCTGATGATGGAGATCTGGCCCCCTACCTCACTTGACCCAGCTACAGGCAACTGACTAGATATAAGTGCCATGGGCTAGAGAGGAAACAAAGATGAATCCAAGGTGGTCTCCCAGTAGTATCCTATCTGCTCACCATAGTCCTTTACCCAACACTTTGTGCCACATTAGTGAACAGTAAGATCTAGCTCTGTCTTCCACCCTGCCCAACCAATCCCTCGCAAATCCAACATGCCCTTCCTTTGAAAAGCCCTTGTGCTCTGCTCCCTTCCTTCCCAGGACCACCATTAGCACCCTAGTAATTCAAATACTGCAACTGAGATCATGCATCACTTCCCAACAAGGGGTCCCCACCTCTGACCACTCACCCACCCTCAAGTCTCCCCTGCCCTGCCACAAGAAAGCATGCTTATCCCCTACACAAAACTCTTCCACACTTGCCCTTTATTTACCAAATAAAGTCTACACACCCAGGCCTGGCAGCTAAGGCCTTCTACAGGCCAGCTCAAATCACCCTTACAGCCTTCTCTCTCCCAATATTCCCTAATCCACTCCCAACTCCAGCTAAAATCAATAATCAGATTACACTCTGCTCTCCACATATGTCTTATGCTGACTTCCATATTTCTCCAACTATTTCCTCTATCTGGAAGGCACTTCCCAAGACTTGCTAAGGAAAACAATCACCAAGGGAACTTTTTAAAAAAATGCCTGGGCTCCACTTCAGTAATTCTGATTCCACAAGACAGGATAGGACTCATGAGGTGGTGGGTGGTGGTCTTTTTAACAGATTTAGAAACCAAGAGATCCCAACCATCCCAGTCTTCTCAACACAAAAACTCACAAATCTCTCCTTTCCCACAAAACCCCAGCCAGAAGGGCGCATTCCTGTAGTGTTTGGTTTATGGTTTCTTTCAGCTCTCTAGTCAAGAATCAGATCTTGTTCCCAGTGTTTCCACCTCCTCCTGCAGGCCATGCACCTAGTACTAAGTGAGCAGTCAGTATTTGAAAGATAGTGTGGTATAGGGGGAACTGGGAGTCAGGATTAGATGTGACAGATATCAGGCTCTGAGCTTCTGTCTGGGAAACAAATTCAGAGAATGACATACAAATGTCTATGGTACACTTGGCCAGACTTGGTGGCTCACGCCTATAATCCCAGCACTTTGGGAGGCTGACGTGGGCGGATCATGAGGTCAGGAAATCAAGACCACCCTGGCCAACATGGTGAAACCCCGTCTCTACTAAAATGCTAAAAATTAGCCAGGCATAGTGGCATGCACCTGAAGTCCCAGCTACTCGGGAGGCTGAGGTAGGGGAATCACTTGAACCCAGGAGGCGGAGGTTGCAGTGAGCCGAGATCATGCCACTGCACTCCAGTATGCGGACAGAGTAAGGCTCTGTCTCAAAAAAACAAAAACAAAAAGTATATGGTACACTTATGGTATGCAAACGGTATTTTCCAGTTAAGCATATTTTACTATGATCGCATTACACAGTATGTTGTTCAGCAACATTCATTCAGTATGCCTATGCTGTGCACCACTGTGTTTATTCACTGTTATTGGGCAAATTCCCAATTTATATTATGTTATCTGCCAACCAGGTCCCACACAACTGGGCAGACACATGCCTTTAACATTCATTAAAACGAACTCAATCTTCAGTTTCAATTCTGTTTCAATGCAGGTGTGGAAAGAAGGTTCCATATCTTGGGTAATCTGTGAAATCTAGACATAAATAGAATAACATTGGGAGAAAGTAAACTGCTTTTGGGTAGAATACCATTTACTTGTTAAGGAATAGAAGGTAAGTGTTTGAAAAGACAAAGTATATATCACTATGGTTTGGAAACTAATTTTTAAAAACTGAATAATGCCCTAGAGAATAAAGAACTTGTAAATTTTTTAACTTGGCTCTCTAAAATCTGCTCATTTCTCACACCACCTATGCAGACTATGGTAGAAGTGTGCCTTGTATTTTCATTAAAACCATCTGGCAGCTTTGAGGTCTAATTTCCCTTTGCTAAGACAGGTAACCATTCTGACGCTCTGTCTCCACAACTGTAGATTGGAGATATACCCACTGCTACACTGGAGTAGGTCTGTGCAAAGTTACGAAGGAATGTCACTGTACTCTTGCCCAGCACCTTGAGCAAGGCAAGCACATACCTCATCTTTTTCGTATATTCACAAGGAGGATAAATGAATGGAGGAGGACCCTGAGACAAAGAGGTTAATTCACTAAGAAAAGTTGCACAGTCAAAGTCAATGAGTAGTGCTACATGAGGCTCAAATTCAGATCTTCCAATTCTAAATCCAGTGATCTTTCTATTATACCATGTTTTGTACAGTCCTATTATTCATGGGTTGTTTCTTCATTTTACTTGTTATTTTGATCTTTACTCTGGTTTTTCCAGAATGTTAGGGAAGTTTCTCTGCATGTTTGGAAATTCAGGTTATAAGAAGACATCGTGTCAGCTATTTATGTAACCAGCTTTCCCACCTTTCCACTAAACCAGTATTTTCTAGACAGTAAGGCACTATACAAATATGAGGTATCATTTTGTTTGATGAATGATGAATAGGCAAACATGGTTGTCTACAGTTCGTCTCATCACACCTGCAAGGCAGGTTTACCTACCCGATCATAAGGCACACAGAGGAGTAACTGGCCCTTACCCACCACCAAGGCTTGGAAACAGTGTAAACCACCAGGAGCTTTTCTCTCTCCCTCAATCTTCCACACGGCTCCTTGAATATCAAGCCTGGGGCCAGGAGAGGAGCAAGTACCTGTCATCATAGGAGGAGATCCTCTTGCCATCCATGACTCGTGAGGGTGTGAGGGAGAGCAGGCTGAGGGAATACAGCTTTTGCAGGAAGTGACTCTCTATTAAAAAAGAACATAATAGGGTTCTCCTCAAGGTGGAAACAGAGCCTACCCTGGGACACTGAAGACCAGGCCCAACTCACCTCTGACTTTGGAATCCTTACTGAAGCGCCACTGAGGCACAAAGACAGTTATGTCACGGTGGCCACGGTCCCAGAAGTACTGCACAGCAATGGCAATGCCCCGGCTGGAGAAGTAGTGCTGAAGGCCATGCCTGCAGTGGGAGGGGGTCGGCCAGAGGAGGGGCTTGGCACCCTGGCTACAATGCCAGCCCCTCAGGACATATCCTCCCTCCCCTAGGCCCTCAGCCCCACCAGGTACTCACACCATGGCCACGTTGCTGCCGTCAATGACAATATGGCGGAGGTCTGGCTGGCCAGGCACATTGGCAAGGCATAGTGTGAAAGGATCCTGCAGGGCCTCCTTGAAACGCTGTGTGCCAGTCACCAAGTTGCCCCCTCGGGCACCTCGTTTCCATTGAGGCCCCCGACCCCGTGCCATGCCCTGCTGCTTGTCTCCCCTGTCCCCACCATCTCCCCGGTCTCCCCAGTCACCCCGGTCTCCACAGTGCCATGGGGGTTCTGGTGCAGGCGGAGGGCTGGGCACCCTTGGAGGAGAGGCATTCCCATTGTGGAGCCGCTGGAGGAGGGAGGCTCCTCGGGACTGAGCTGCCCTGTGACAGGAGCCATGGGCACCGGGAGGCTCACGGTGGACACAGACCCCTCCTCCTCCTTGAGTTACCTCCTCCTTCCCCAGGGCCTTCCCTTTCAGGGGTGCTGACTCCCTTAACCCTCCACCCACTGACTGTGGCCTGAGGGCCACTTCTCTCTCCCAGGCCTCTTCCCCAGGCAATTCCTTCCACCCCAAATCCATCTCCCTGGGACCACCCTGTTTCCCTCCCTCCTTTTCCACAACATAATTGTCTCCCCTTGCTCCCCTGGAATCTCTGGGTCCCACAGATCCAGTGTCCAGGGACTCCCTGCCGTCACTAGGGAGAGCTCTCTCTTCTTGGCACTGAGCACGGAGCAAGCCTGAGCTCCGCCCCTCCCAAGAAGCCAGCGCTCCTGGCCCCTGCCCACTGGACGCCTCCTGCACCAGACTCAGCAGCTCCTCCTGGACAGCCAGGGGCAACTGCAGCAGAGCCTCTCTATGGGCATCCCCCGGCGACTGCAGCAGGGCAGAGAAGTCTCTCAGCACTCCAGTACACTGAGAGGCTCCGGAAGATGGTCCTGGCGTGAAGTCCCAGCTCAGCCGCTCTGTCAGCTCTTCTACCCGGCTCTGAGCCATGACAAAAGCCTCAGTCAGGCCACTGATCATCAGTGTGCCGGGCGCCCTGGGCACCAGATGGGCTGATGTGCTCCAGGCCAGACAGTCAAGGAAGAAGCCCTGGGCTCCCAGAAAGATGCAGTGCAGTTTGGGCGGGTAATGGATTTCATCCTGCAGTTCTGGGCTGCAGAGGCCCTTCAGGTACTCCTGGTTGGGAGGAAGGGAAGGTCAGGAAAAGTAAACTGCTGGAATCCTAACTGGCCTGGGTCACCTCTCCTGGCTCCTTGCTCGCTCCTGAGCTCCAGGATGTCTGAAGTATCCACATGATGTTATTCCCATTTTAGAAATAAGGAAACTGAGACTTCTATCACAAAACTGAGCCATCCTGGAACCCCAGCCTAATCCCAAAGGAAGCAATGTGACCCAGCCTCCCACCTCACAGTGCATTCCTTGGTGGGGCCAACTTGTTCAGCCAGATCTCTCTACTCTACCAAAGAGCACAGAATGATTTTTGCGAGCCTGGGCTATCACAGAAGAAATTAAGCTGAAACTGAAAACAAATACAGAGTTGGAAAGTCCCTCAAAACTCAGGGGCACTGAGGTTGCCAGTGAGACAAATCCTCCCCAGGCCCCTCCTCTTCCCTGCTCTCCTCCGCCCCGGGGGAAAGCGTCCTTGGTGCCTGGAGGGATGGGGGAGAGAAGGAGTTCACCTTGGCTCTGCTGGCGTTTTCCTTAGGGCCCTCCAGCTGCAGCCAGATGTGGGGGTTGTCCGGACAGTCCTTCGGAAGGACACTCACCCCCACGCTGAAGATGCGCTCCACATGAGGCTGCTGTTCCCGAACCTTGTTCTCAGCCTCCGCAGACACCGCAAAGCGGTCTGGGGACGCGGGGCGGGCCTCCCAGGTAGGCATGGCTGCTGCCCCCAGCCCTGGAAGGGAAGAAGGCAGCTCAGAGCCTCACTGCACCCTCAATCCAAATCCTGGTTTGTGGGACTACACCAGCTATCAACAGGTCGCACCTAGTTAAGGCTCTGGTAAACAGCCCCAGTAGGTGACAAGCATCTGAGTCCACTGGAGGTAGGGAGTATGTCATGCAGGCCTTTCCAGAGAGGAAGTCCCGGTAAACAAGGCTGTCTACCGAGGGTGGGCGTCTGGGCTTTGGAAAACGAAGACCACAGTCCTGAGCAAGAAGGGTGGGGGGCTTCAGCTCTCGGCCTGGAGGCCAGAAGGAGTCTCCTGGGGGACTCTGCAGCTTCTTAAAGACGAATCCTCAGCAGGGGTTTGAACTAGGCTGTCCTCTGGGGGCCCTGGTCTGCCATTTCCAAGGTTCAAGCCACTCCCACCCCTCCCCCAGCCGTCCGCTGCCCCTCTCCGTCACGCCACGAGCACCGCCCAGGGCCCAGGGGCCGGGCCGGGCCGGGCCCGCCCACCGCGGACTGGGACAGCCACCCCGGGCCAGGCCTACTCCGCACCATGGCCGCTCTCCGCTCTCCCCTCTCCCGGGCGCGGGGGAGGGGCGCGCCTACCGCCTCCGCCGCCCGCGCCGGCCTCGGGTCCTCTCAGCGCCCGCCGGGGGCCCCCGCCTTGCCCGCGCCCCTAGCCCAGGGGACAAGGGCAGGGGGCCCGAATCTGGGCGGTCCTTCCCGGGTTCCTCACCCAACGGGGACCTCTCTTGTCCACATCGCACGCAAACTGTTTCTTGAGTCACTTCCTGGCCTGGGGCGGAGTCAGCCCAGCTCCTCCCGGCTGCGCGCCCTCCTCCCAACCCCGCCGCCGCGCCCAGCGGCCCCGACGGGCCCGCTCGGCCTAGTCCCCTCGGCGGCTCCAGGGCTCGCTCCTCGCGCTTCTCCACTCTGTCTCCCCGCCCTCGGGGTCCTCGCGCATTCTGCGCAGTTATTTCTCGGAAAGTGAAACCATGCGTTGAAAGTTGTTTCCCGCGAATAAAGATGTGGCCAACCAAAGAGGCAGCGTGACTGGCTCCACTGGTGCTCTAGGCCCAAGCACTTTCCACCAAAGCAATCGTGGCGGAGGCGAGGGAGGGGGTACCCCGGGTGGAGTACCCCTTTCTTCCAACAAATGGAAAGATGCCACGAAGAAGGGCTGTTGATTTGTGGGGGATTTTGAAGAGAGGAGGAATAGGAGGGGGGGTTAAGGGGGCTGCCTCTGGCATATGCACACACTCACACATTCTCTCACACCCCTCACACACACACATACCGTGTTCTCCATCCCCCCAGGTCCAGCCTTCAGTGCAGTCCCGTCCAGCAGGGCTGCCCTGAAGCTCTGGCTGCAGCCCTCCCGTCCAGCGGGCGGGCGGCTTCATCCCTCCTCTCTCTCCCAAAGCCCAACTGCTGTCACTGCATGCTCTGCCAAGGAGGAGGGAACTGCAGTGACAGCAGGAGTAAGAGTGGGAGGCAGGACGGAGCCGGGACACAGGTATGGAGAGGGGGTGTAGCGAGCCTACAGAGGGCAGACGATCAGGGTGCTGGCGGTGAGAGTCCAGGGAGAGGAGCGGAAACAGAAGAGGAGCAGAAGACAGGGGCACTTGTGGGTTGCAGAGCCCCTCAGCCATGTTGGGAGCCAAGCCACACTGGCTACCAGGTCCCCTACACAGTCCCGGGCTTCCCTTGGCTCTGGTGCTTCTGGCCCTGGGGGCCGGGTGGGCCCAGGAGGGGTCAGAGCCCGTCCTGCTGGAGGGGGAGTGCCTTGTGGTCTGTGAGCCTGGGCGAGCTGCCGCAGGGGGGCCCGGAGGAGCAGCCCTGGGAGAGGCGCCCCCTGGGCGAGTGGCATTTGCTGCAGTCCGAAGCCACCACCATGAGCCAGCAGGGGAAACCGGCAATGGCACCAGTGGGGCCATCTACTTCGACCAGGTAATCCCCCTACCCCTGTCCATGGGACCTGGAAGGACCCTGCAAGGACCTGGAAGCAACTGTCCAAGCCCACTTTGCTGTCCCTGAGGCTTTAAGAAAACAGCTTCCTACATCTTTCCCTAATCTGGCCTGTTGCTGCTCCACCCTACCAATGATTTCCCCTCCCTCCACCCATATGCAGCCCCTCCTTGCCCCTTCTCACCATTTCTTTTGAATCTGTTCATGCCTATTAACTCCTACTTGCCACTCCTTCTATTCATTACTCACTGCCCCTGCCCAGTCCCCATGGTACTCCTGAGCCATGGGCATTTCCTGAGCCCCACTCAGCAGGCTCTGCTTCCCCCAGGTCCTGGTGAATGAGGGCGGTGGCTTTGACCGGGCCTCCGGCTCCTTCGTAGCCCCTGTCCGGGGTGTCTACAGCTTCCGGTTCCATGTGGTGAAAGTGTACAACCGCCAAACTGTCCAGGTGACCTCAGCACTGGTCCCCATCCCTGGCTCAGGAGGGGAGGGAGGGGGAAGAAGTGGAGCCCAGCTGACCTCCAGGTGGACCCTCCACTGACCTGTGTCCTGGAAGCCAGGACCAGGGGAGGAATGGGCCTACCTTGCATTGAGTGTGGAGGATGTGCAGAGTCCAATGCTGGCCACTCCTCAGCCCTCCCAGGAGAGCCCATTAAGACCCAGCTTCCCAAGAGGAAGCCCCTGGGAAAGTGGGGGTCCTGAGCTAAGGACTGGGGAATGGAGGCTAACTGGGCTCCCCTCCCCAGGTGAGCCTGATGCTGAACACGTGGCCTGTCATCTCAGCCTTTGCCAATGACCCTGATGTGACCCGGGAGGCAGCCACCAGCTCTGTGCTACTGCCCTTGGACCCCGGGGACCGAGTGTCTCTGCGCCTGCGTCGGGGAAATCTACTGGGTGGCTGGAAATACTCAAGTTTCTCTGGCTTCCTCATCTTCCCTCTCTGAGGACCCAAGCCTTTCAAGCACAAGAATCCAGCCCCTGACGACTTTCTTCTGCCCTCCTTGCCCCAGAAACAGCAGAGGCAGGAGAGAGACCCCCCTCTGGCTGCCCATATCCCACCTCCTTGCATGGGACCCTGTGCCAAACACCCAAGTTTAAGAAAAGAGTAGAGCTGTGGCATCTCCAGACCTGGTCTTTCCACCCACCCACCACCAGTTCCCCTCCCAGCCACCTGCTGCATCTGTTCCTGCCTGCAGCCCTAGAATCAGGGCAAGGTTTGGCAAGAAGGAAGATCTGCACTACTTTGCAGCCTCTGCTCCTCCTGTTCCCCCACCCCAGCTTCCTGCTCAATGCTGTTCAGGAACAGGTGGCACAGGTGAGCCTCACAGGCCCCCACAGGAGCCCAGATGGACAAGCCTCAGCATACCCTGCAGGCTTCTTCCTGTGAGGAATGCCAGCATCACAGATCTCAGCCAGCACCGTCAGAAGCTGAACCAGCACCGTATGGGCTAGGGTGGAAAGCTCAGCCACAGGCAGAAGTGTGGGGAGGGCCTGGAGTCTGTAGCTGGTGAGGAAGGAAGGAGGGTGTATTGTCTAGTCTGAACATGGTACACATTCTGCATGTATAGCAGAGCAGCCAGCAGACAGCAATCCTGGCTGTCCTTCTATGCCAGATCCCAGATAGACTCTGGCCCTTACCTCCCCACCTGAGACTAGGGTGAGTGTGTTTGCTCTGGCTGAGAGCAGAGCTGAGAGCAGGTATACAGAGCTGGAGGTGGACCATGGAAAACATCGATAACCATACATCCTCTTGTTTGGCCACCTCCTGAAACTGCTCCACCTTTGAAGTTTGAACGTCGGTCCCTCCACATTCTGACTGCTGCCTCCCTCCTCCCAGCTCTCTCACTGAGTTATCTTCACTGTACCTGTTCCAGCCTATCTACACCATCTCTCTTTCTCCTGATCTGTGCTGTCTTATTCTCCTCCTTAGGCCTCCTATTACCTGGGATTCCATGATTCATTCCTTCAGACCCTCTCCTGCCAGTATGCTAAACCCTCCCTCTCTCTTTCTTATCCTGCTGTCCCATTGGCCCAGCCTGGATGAATCTATCAATAAAACAACTAGAGAATGGTGGTCAGTGAGACACTATAGGATCACTAAAGAGAAGATGCCTCTGGAGTTTGGATCGGGTGTTACAGGTACAAGTAGGTATCTTGCAGAGGAAAATAAATATTAAACTGTATACTAAAGTTACATTTTAAAAGTTGAATAATGTTTGAGTTAAATAGGAAATACCAAGGTGAATTTGTGGTTTTAAAAAGAAATAACTTTTTGAACTGTCACTAACACTAAAAACAACATCAGGAACAATCTGATATCCATTCTTAGAAACTGGATCTTTTCTTCAAATATTAATCACCATTAAAAAAAATATATCAAAAAAACCTCAGTTTCCTTGAAGAATAGCTGCACACCTTAAGTAACTCCAGGCCCAGAAAATGTTGTTGATGACAGAAAGCAAAGATGCTTTTTAAATGTATAAAGTAAAGCTGAAAGGCAAAGGAATCAATTTAAAGAGGCTCCCACTTAACATGCTTTGACAATTTGATTATCAAAAGGAAAATAATATAGCTAATTGGAGCAAGGTGAATTTTTTAAAATCCATGCATCTATAATGATATTCAAAAAGAAAGAAGTCACTATAAAGTGTGCCCAAAGGTAGTTAATATACTAAGTGAAAAAGAGTGAACGTAATAGGCTATTTTTAGTGAGTCACGATAAGTAGAACATAAATATAGTAGACATTTTGTCTATTTGCAAGGTACGTTTGTTTTTCTTTATCTGTGTAAGTAGGGAGGGGTGAGTACAGAGAACTGTGAGTAATTCCAGGAAGATCTGGCACTGTGCCAAGAATGAAAGATACTGATGGAACTATTTGGGCATATTTTGCAACTAAGAAGAAAAACAGTCCAATGGTGTGTTATAAGACAATGGATTAGTCAAATGTCCAAGACAACTGTTCACTGCTCAGGCTTGATTGTTCATCTCCTGGAAAATGGATCCTCTGTATTACCCCACTTATTATAATGAGATATTAATTAGGCAAAATAATTAAGAGTAGGTTTGGCTGTAACAGTAAAACCCAAAATAAGAATAGCTTAAACAAAATAGGAATTCATTTCTGTCTCACATAGAAGAATCTGTAAATAAGGGTCCAGGGATGGATGGCAGCCTTATGATGATTTGAAAGCCCAGTCTCCTGTCTTGCTGTTCTACCATCCTTAGCTTGCCACCTCATGACCCAAGACGGCTCCCTGAGCTCCAGCCATTACATCAGCCTAACAGGAAGGAGGAAGGAAGAAACAGCACATCTCTTTCCTTGAAAGAAGCTTTCTGAAAGGTGCACCAATATGTCTGATTGTGTCTCAGTAGAATTTAGTCGCCTGGGCTCACCAAGCCAGGGAGAGAGGCTAGGAGCTATAGGGTTTATTCCAGGCAGCCATGTCCAGCTAGAAGTTGGGAGTTTTATAATAAAGAAGAAGGGGAGATTAGCTATCGGGGAAGACAACTGGAAGTTGTTTTTTGTTGTCGTTTTTTGAGACAGAGTCACGCTCCTTCGACCAGGCCGGAGTGCAGTGGCGCAATTTCAGCTCACTGCAACCTCCGCCTCCCGGGTTCAAGCAATTCTCATGCCTCAGCCTCCCGAGTAGCTGGGATTACAGTTGTGCGCCACCAGGCCCAGCTAATTTTTTGTATTTTCAGTAAAGATGGGGTTTCGCCATGTTGTCCAGGCTAATCTCAAACTCCTGGCCTCACGTGATCCAATTACAGGTGTGAGCTACCACATCTGGCCACAAAGTACTACCAACTTGGTGGCTTAAAGCAACTATTTATTATCTCACAGTCTCTGTGGGTCAGAAGTCCAACAAAACGTGACTGGCTTCTCTGCTCAGGGTTTCACAAGGTCAAAAGCAAAGTATAAGCAGGGCGGCCTTCCTTACTGGAGGGGAGGAATTCACTTCTAAACTCATTTAAAGTTCAGTTCCTTATGGTTGTAGGACTTAGGTCCTGGCCCCCTCCATTCTCAAGCCGACAATGGCAAGCCAAGTGCTTCTCACGCTTTGAATCTCTCAGGCCTACCTTTCTACCATCTCTCTCTGACTTCAGTGGAGAAAGTTCTCTGAGTTAAAGGACTCATGTGATTAGATTGGGCCCACCCAGATAAGCCAGGATAATCTCCCTATTTTAAGGTCCACAACCTGAATTGCATATTTGAAGTTTGTTTTGCCATGTAACATAACATATTCATAGGTTCCAGGGATTAAGACATAAGACTAAGACATAGACATAGACATCTTTAGGGACATCTGCATATCAGAGTCACTAAACTTAAAGATGGCATCATGTAGAGAAAAGGCATCTAGCTACAATACCACTGCATGGAAAATGTATGGGCTTGAAAATTTCCCATGATGTGTACAAGATAAATATCAGTTCAGATTTTAATCATTTTAGAAGGTGAACCAATTCCCAGGTCCCAACCAAAAATTCTTTAATTAATAATCCAAAACTTGATCTACATTGAGATATATTTTAATTTTAGATATCTAAATTCAAAAATTGGCCTGAGCTGAAATAATATCTCTCAGGTCTACAGCCCATTTTTATAGTGGATTTAAGTATAGGTGTCATAAACTTTATAATCCTTATAATGGTGTGTGTCCTTTATCAAAATGAAGCTTTTAGAGAAACTGATGTATTCGTGATTCAATTGAAATATTTAGGAGGATTTGATTGTTTTTAATCAATGTTTAAATAATTTTACTTGTTAAATGTAGAGATTTTGATTTGCTGGTTATAGAAATTGTGTTCAAATATTTAGACCATTTTTCCTTCAGTAGGTTTGTGAATAGATTAAACAATAAATAAAGCACAGGTGATGGTGAGTGATCCTCTTCAGGTACCAAAAGCTCCTCAGACTTTAAGGATCCTAACAGCAGACTCCAACTGTTCACCTTCCCTATGCCCATGGCCTGGCAGCTGATTCCTACAGAGAAGTCCCACTGATGAAGGATTCAGTGTGGATCTAAATCCATGGCCTCCAGCCACATCTGGTCCTCAATCCTGTAATCCTCAGTCCTCTGACTCTTTACTGGTTTCCTTTGCCTGCTGCCCCTCATCTTCCCCAGAATCCACTGCCGACTTCTGTTCACTCTTTAAGCCTTTTGCCCCACCGGTTCTGCTCCTATGGCCCATGGTCAGCGGCAGACAGCCTCACCTTCCACCTCACTGAGCACACAGAAACTCCAAGCAGGACCCTGCCCACCACCACACTTATAAACTCACCTTCCTCCCCATCTCTGCTTCCTCCTGTCTGTCTTGATGGGAGACGAGTTCTTCCTCCTGTCAAGGCTGCTATCCTTATCCACCAGTCTTGGATCCAGTTTCCTGCAGACATCCTGCCATCTATCACTCTCCTTTCTACTCACTCCTTCCCTTCAGCAGCTTTAAAGTTTAAGAGCTCAAGTCTCTTAAATCTAAAAGAGAAGATAGGCATGGAGTAGTTGTAGATACAGATATAGCTATCCTCAGCTCTATCTATTCCTGCAGGTAGTTAGCGTCAGCTCATCTCCTCTTTAAAGCAAAATATCGTAGTACAAATGCCTACACTCTCCATTACACCTCGTAATCACCAGTGAACTATGGCCTCCACTGCTCCACCTGAACTGCCCTCAGCCATGGCTCATAACTTCCGTGTTACTGAAGCTGGTGAACACTTCCTAGTCCTCCTGTCACTCAGACTCTCCCTAACTTGACCCTGCTGACTATGCCCTCCTTCTAAAAGCACTCTCTGCCCTGACTTCCCTGACTGTGCGCTCCCTGGTTTTCCTCCACTTCTCTTCCTGTGCCCTGCATCTCTTAAGTGTTGATTTTCGTCAAGGTTCTGCCCTAGCATTCTTTGGTCCTAAGACCCTCTCAAAGGCACAAATGACCATTCATATGCTGACAATGTTGTCTCTATCCAGGATCGCCCTTTCTAAAACTCAGACTCATACATTGAATATTCCACTTTCAAGTCTACATGCTGAAACCTGAAATTATAGTCTTTCCGCCCTAAATCTGTTCTCTTGCCCTTGTTTTCTATATCTGTAAATGGAACTTCCCTGTTGCCCAAACCAAAAATGGCCATTATCCTTAATTCTTCCCTTTCCCATAACCCTCATATCTAGTCATTCACATCCATCGGTTCCATTCATTTCTTTCCATCTGCCCTGGCTCAAACTAACAATCTTTTAGCTAGATTTCTATGAAAACCTCTTAACTGGTCCTGTGGTCTCTGGTTTTTCCCTTCAATTCTCCAGACTGCGGTTGCCTTAGTGATCTGTGTAAATAAACCTCACTGCCTAAGGCCCTTTGGGGGCTCCAGGTGGGCCTCAGAATGAAATCCATATTTCTTACCATGGTTTTCAAGATCCCTCACAATTCATCTCCCAGAATCTCCACTACTTCATTTTTCACCATCTACAAGAATGTACAGACCTAAGAAATAGTGCCACTTATTAGCTGAGGGGAAACGGCCCTCTTTGGAAAAAGAGAGTACAGCGTTTCAGTCAAAACTTATCAGGACCAAGAGAATAGATCTTGGACTCAACGGAGGTAAATCCGTTTTAGTTTATGAATCATCTTACTGAGAACCAAACTTTAATGGAGGCATCTTAGCGGACACTATGTAGTGCATTAATAACAGATGGAGAGACCATAAATTAAGTGAGGGGAGACTAATTCTAACAACAAAATGAATGCACTTGTGTCAGAGGCAGTAGTATAGTGGTTAAGATGGTAAGCACAGAGGCCGGGCACAGTGGCTTATGCCTGTAATCTCAGCACTTTGGGAGACCGAGGCAGGTGGATCACCTGAGGTCAGGAGTGCGAGACCAGCCTGGCCAACATGGTGAAACCCCGTCTCTACTAAAAGTACAAAAATTAGCCAGGCATGGTGGCGGGCGCCTATAATCCCAGCTATACAGGAGGCTGAGGCATGAGAATCGCTTGAACCTAGGAGGTGGAGGTTGCAGTGAGCCGAGATTGCACCATTGCACTCCAGCCTGGGCAATACGAGCAAAACTCTGTTGCAAAAAAAAAAGAAAGAAAGAAAGAAAAAGAAAAGAAAAAGATGGTCAGCACAGGGGTCAGTGCTCAAATCCAGCCTCTCAGTGGCTGTACATGACTTTCAGTGAGTTACTTCACCTCTCCGCGCCTCATTTTCTTCATCTATAAAATGGAGATATTAATTGTAGGCACCCCACAGGGTTGGAAAGCATTTAGAACAGTACCCAACACAAAGCAAGTACTCAGTATATGTAAGTTACTGTTACCAGATGACTTAGTAAACAAGTTAAAACTTGGGCCTGTCCCAGGGATTCTTGGACAATCTTTTAAAAGCAGGTAGGATTTTTGATTTATTGTAGCCATTTACCTGTTACAAGGATTTTGTCTTCCAAGTGTGTTCACTTTCATTCATGAACGCACGGACTTAGTAAATAGTTGCTAAGAAAGCATGGTATTGCAAGTCTTAGGTGGTCCCAACCTCACCAGATAGTTTATGTAAGTTTTAACAAGGGCACAAGATAGGGATATTCTTTATTTTTATTGTTTGCTTATGTCATGGGATTGTCTGGATACTGGCAACTTTGTAATTTCTCTGTTAGAGACTTAGGGAAGCCCTCCTGCCAGGGCGCAAATAAGAAGGAATAATTGTGATGGTGTAAACCAGAGAAGCACTGACTGGTTGCCTAGAGTATCCGTGGTTCTTTACTATGGACAAAACTCCTTAATTCACCCCTCCAAAAATAGGAGGAATCTCAAACTTCTGTTCAGACCTGGTAGATTGTTGAACAGCAAAGAAGAAAAACCTCACTGTCAGAGGACTTAGAAGTCAGTGTGAGTAAAATCTGATTCTTGCTTAAAGTCATCTAGAGTAAAAAATAATAGGATTTTGCCAAGCCACCTTTCCAGTCAGCCTTCCACTTTTAGAGTGCTGACCCTTTCCATTGCTGACCTGTGCTGCAAACAATTTATTACTTTTGACGAAGGGGCTCAGGCAAGACCTCTCTGACTGTCATGTGGGCTGAAGGCCCCAGGCCCCTGCACCATGGGCTCCTGAGCCACATTGTTTCCCTTACCACCCTGAACTGTATTTGTTTGTTGGATTGTCTGTCTCCCTCACCTGACTGTAGGCTGCAAAGAGGCAGAGACCGTGTCACTCCTGTTACCTGTTAGTCATCCCACACCTAGGCGGAGCCTGGCATATAGTAGGTGTCCTATAAATACTGAATGAACAATGGTATGCACATGAGCTGGGGAGTTCCCAGGAAGGATGGTCCCCACCCCTACCCATATGCCAGCCAGTGCTGAGCAGAACCCTGGGCAGGTGAGAAAGGCAGCAAAAAGCAAAGGTCTAAAGTCACGAAGCTTGACCTGGGTTAAGAAGGTCTCTGACCCTAAGGGGAGAGAACAGCAAGAGTTCCCAGGGCAGCAAGAAGAGTAATGTTAGCTACATGTGATGAATGCTATTCCATCCCAAGCCATACTGGCCTCTTCAAACAGATTATTTCATGTAATCCTTGAACCATCTCATAAATTAGGAATTGTTAACCCTGTGTTTTACAGATGGGGAAACCGAGGCCCCAGGAAACAGCCTGCCATAGGTAGCAAATATAGACACAAACCTAGGTCTATAATTTTTCCAGTACAATGAAGCTGGTTCAGCACTAACACCATTCTCTCATCATTCATTTATAAATTTTCTTTTCTTCTTTTCTTTTCTTTTTGAGATGGAGTCTCGCTGGAGTGCAGTGGTGTGATCTTGGCTCACTGCAACCTCTGCCTCCTGGGTTCAAGCAATTCTCCTGCCTCAGCCTCCCGAGTAGCTGGGATTACAGACTCCTGACACCACACCCAGCTGATTTTTGTATTTTTAGTAGAGACGGATTTCGCCACATTGGCCAGGCTGGTCTTGAACTCCTGGCCTCAAGCGATCCACCCGCCTTGGCCTCCCAAAGTGCTGGGATAACAGGCATGAGCCACCATGCCCTGCCTCATCATTTGTTTTCATTCCCACCCTGCCCACTTCCAAGATATTAACTGCCAAGGGTACCAGCTTGGAAGGCCAAAGGTGGGACTCTCCTTCTATCCCTGCCATGAACCAGCTATGGGGCCTTAAGCATATCACACTCTGGGCCCTGGTCTCCTCATCTGCACAGTAGGAGCTTAGGGCAGATGATCTGGAAAAGCTACTATCCAGGTCTTCAAATCTGCAAGTCTATCTGGGAAACATATAGCAGCCATACCCCATGTCTGCCCCACACTCCTCATTTCCACAATTGAGACTGAAGCTAAACAAAACACTGGACATCAGCTCCAGTTTGATTCGTTTATTGACAAATCAAATGAAAAAAATTCACTTAAAAGAAGGGTATGTGATCACAAATGTAGCTAACAGGGGAAACGCATACAGCACCAGGGAGGGAGAGTGAGGCTGGACATACCATCACAGAGAGGAGGAAGAGAAAGAATGGCACGGGGAGCAGAGGAAAGAGAGCACCTGCCAAAAATCCCACACTTTCCACTTCTCAGCTATCACTCAATCATTTTTCTGGACAGGGTTAACAGCTAGAAATGGTTTAAGGGCAACATCCAGGTAGTTTGTCTGGAAGATCAGGGAGATGAGGAGTTGCAGGGAATGTGGGTGTAGGATTTTGAAGGATTCTCCAGCTTGAACCTATTGCCAGAACCCTTTTCATGGTGAACTGGGGGTCAGGAAGCTTAGTCCTGGTCTCAGCTCAGCCATGAACTCGCTGTGTGACTTTGGGTGAATCACTTTCCCTCTGTGATCCTCTCTCCTCTGCTGTAAAACAATCAAGTCG